TGCTGCCGTGCTGATGCTGGTGCAGGTGCAGGTGCTGGCTCTGGATCGGCGTTTTTGTTTTGCAGGCGCTGCTGCCTTGCTGATGCTGGCCCAGGCGCTGGCTCTGGACCAGCGTTTTGCAGGTGTTGCTGCCGTGGTAATGCTGGTGCAGGCGCAGGTGCTGGCTCTGGATCGGTGTTTTGGTTTTGCAGGTGCTGCTGCCGGGCTGATGCTGGTGCTGGATCGGCGTTTTGTTTTGCTGGTGCTGGTGCTGGCGCAGGCGCCGGCTCTGGATCGGCGTTTCGTTTTGTCATGCCAGGGGTGGAATCGACATGTCATGCCCAGAATGACGTCAGACTGATATCATGTCATGCTCAGAATGACATCACGCCATGCCAGGAAGACGTCATGTCGTGCCAGGGCATGTCAGGCCCAGGATGACATGTCACGCCAGGAATGACATCATGTCCGGGAGGGAGCGGCCTGGTTTTGGAATGCAGATTTGGTTTCCATTTCGAACGCGGGCAACTGGTCTCAATTTGGAACGCGGGCCTTCCTGCGGTTGTTTGCTTTCTTCTGGTGTTTTTTGTGTGTTTCAAATGGTCGTGTTTTAGTTAAACTTTTTTCTTGTGGTGATTTTTCTTCTGTTTTTTTTTTGGGGGTCTCTGGGTGTTTTTTCTTTGTTGTTTTTCTTGCAGTGTTGGTTCTTCTGGTGTTTTTTCTTCGGCTGGACTTTTCTTGTGGTGCTTTTTCTTCTGGTGGTATTTTTCTCCTGGTGTTCTTTTTCTTGGGTGGTTTTTTCTTGTGGTGTTTTTGTTCTTCTGGTGTTTTTTCGTTGGTGTTGTGTTTCGCGCGATGGTCTTTTTCTTCGGTTGGTTTTGTTCTTGCGGTGTGTGTTTTCTTCGTGTGGTTTTTGCTTGTGGCGTTTTTTCTTCGTGTGTTTTTCTTGTAGTGGTGATGTGTTTCTTCTGGTGTCCTTTTTCTACTTGTGCTTTTTTTCTTGGGCGTCTTTTTTCTTCTGGTGTTTTTTCTTTGGTGTTTTTCTTGTGTTTTTTCTTCGGTTGGTTTTGTTCTTGTGGTGTTTTTCTCCTGGTATTTTAATTGTTGTTGTTTTTCTTCTAGTGGCTTTTGTTTTGTTGTTTTTTCTCCATGGTTGTTCCCCACATCTCTGTGTGGGGTTCTAGTTTTTTTGGCTGCCATCCCGCCCGCCGCGGCCTTCCGCCGGCGCCGCCGCCGCCGCCGCGCCTCCCCCTCTCTTCACCTCGACGCATCACCACCCTCACACACATACAGCTCCACATCATCCTCTTCATCA